CGGATGGCCTGATGGCCTGGGTTGCAGCGGTGATATGCACAATCATCATATTTGCCAACATATCTCCGGTTATGTTCGTTTCATTTTCATACAGACAACCAGGGAGCAGGTGAGCAGAAACGAGTCATGTAACGTTACCATGAAATGCCTTGCAATCGTTTTATGCTAGGTGTAAAGAGTTATTTTATTTTATTTCACTAACGTTACTGAAATTAAATATTGTTTATGGGGGTTTGTACTTAACTTAAGTGTAATTTAAACTGAATACTTCACTAAAATACATTTCTAATGTTTCTCATTTTTACTTCTTACAATTTTAAAAAGTACTGACTACATTTTTGTACATTTTCATTTCATATAGTTAGGATAGGTGTGACTAAACCGTAAGTGGGAGCAGTTAAGAAAAAAACACATTGCAGCCAGCTGAGACGATGACCCACCAGGCTGGAGTAGATGGTCGGCTTCACACGACACCACTCAGTGTCACTAACTGAATGTAACTTACTTGTGTGTGCGCTGAAGAAAACTGACTGCTGTGGCGTAAACTCTGGATGTCTGATAGTTTTTCAGTGATCTTAAAGTAAAGCATTATACAGGTATGCCAAACTTGGGAACCTTTATTACATGGATTCTCAACTCTGGGCCTTGAGGTCCACTTTACTGCAGAGTTGAGATCCGACCCTAATAAAATACACCTGCACAGGCTAACCAAGATATTCACGATTACTAGAAAGTTACAGGCAGGTGAGTTTTGATTGAAGTTGGAGCTAAATTCTATAGGAAGTAGACTCTTAGGGCTAGAGTTGAGAATCCCTGCCATGAAGGTTTTTATTGCCTTATGTTGCTTTTCATGTCAGAAATTAGAAAAATTCTCACTTCATTTTAAATACTTATGTTAACCTTATGCACCTCACTTTGGATCTGCCTGCACAAACACTGTTTTAGACAACTGTGACCGGCACAAAATTATGTTTGTGGAGTCCTCACTAGTTTGTGGAGTCCTTTGGACACAGAATAGCAATGATAGACTGTTTTGAGATTTCCACAGAGAAACCATTCAGTGTGAAAGTGTGTGTCAAAATGTCTTCTACCTACAAGCACTATTTAGTATTTGACAGATCGTCTAGCACTTCTAAGAATCCATGCAGAAAGGTTCATCAGAAATGTTTGGCAGAAGCATCAAATCATCTTATTATTATTAGTAGTAATTTATTCAGCATTCTTTGTAGTACTTGCAATTGTGCAAATTATATGTGCAAATCAATGGTTGACAAAAACAGAACATATAAGTGTATAAGTAAATAAAATAAGTTTTTATACTGTAAACAAGATAATCATATATCCAACGAGGTTGGAGGCAGCGATGCCGGTGGCACTCAACTTTTTGCGTCAGGTAACCTTAGTATGGATCAGGTGTTAATTATTAATCATCATCAGTGACAAATTACATAAATCACGGTTCCTAAAAATATTAGCTGAGATTATCTCGGTACCGTATCTACTTGGTTTGCATCTGTTTCTCCAGTATGACAATTAAATCGGTCTTTACTGCACGGCTCTGTACACTTTTAGTTCACTGCTCAATGCAACGATACCTTCAAAATGGCGCCTCGGTGACGTCACACATAATAAACACACGTGACTGACAAAGACC